GCCGTGTTTTTCAATTTGCATGATTAAGATGTTGGTTAACGCTATGTTGTGCCCACGCGTTACAGGTTGTTCATTCTGAAAATGTCAACATATCAGAATTCTCTGCAATGCACTTTATTATCTTAGGAGCTTTAAAAAGATCAGCAAAATCAATTAAGTTTAATCAGCCAGCAATTAACGTGTGACTTTTAGGAATGCTAATGCCCGCCAGGCTGTGTGTAAGTCTCATCCGCCACGTGCACTTTGGTGAATCAAAAGACTTAGCTGCTCTTTCCAGGATTACAATGACAACAAGCACGTCTATGATACTGATATGAATGTAAAATGGTAGGACTCTGTGTCAAAATAAAGGGCTTTCTCTCCACAAAAAATCATATCTTTGGGCAAGTATTTTAAGACGTTATCATCGTATAGTAAAGTGAAGTAATGTTTCACCAACAGAGAAAAAAAACGTGATAAAAAATAGCGACATAAAGTTTGAAAAGGGGTTGGATGAAGCAGACACTCATGTGGTCCCAAAGTAAGATGTATCTTTATTGTATGAGGAACAGTCAAGACATCAATGTTGAAATAGCAAAAACACAATAAAATATATATTTCACACTTTTATATTAAGTATTTATTTTGACCAAACCGGTTATTACATTGAATCGTATCAATTTTCTAGATACAGTATCAATATCTGGCTTGCATATCAAGAGAAATAAAGTTGCCCTTATTATCTAGCCCTAGTTCCAACCCCTCTTACTCCTTCATCATGCACATTCAACACACACAGGCCCAAACACTCTCTGACCCTACACCTATCCCCAAATACACCATGCTGAGGGAACCACATACTTTTTAAAATAATGTTTTATAACTTCTTTTTTTTTATATCAGACTTCACAAACGTCATCAGAGTTATTATATTCTTTTTATGGCAACATTTTTCTTGACGGATAACTAATAAAATAATGTGATTAAACATAATTTATATAACGTTTCAGGATTTGGTGTGAGCTCACACAGAGGCTCATGCATTTTTCTGTTTTCTTCTTTGTCTTCAGAACATGTGCAGTAGTGAACCTGTAAAGAGAAAGCCAGACTTCCCCCTCCCCAGACATTTCTTCCAGTTCCCAAGCTGTGAAGAGACATAGGCCCTCCAGCCTGCCTTCCCAGGGCCTCCTCCCAGTGGGACCTCCCCAGGCAGGCGTCCAGGCTGATGCCAAATAAGCTGGCTTCTCTTGACACGCAGAAACAAAAAAGTAGAATTAGCCTGTTTTTATCTGCTTTAGAAAAATCCATAGTTGTACCAGTTCACACTATTCACTCTATTCTAATGTGGTTTTCATTACAGTCAGTATCAAACAAAAGGTTGTGGGAATTGATTTGACCCTTGGAGTCATTCTTTTGAGTAGGTGTGGCTTTAAACTCTCAAAAGCAACAGGAAATAATTCTGAAAATATTAAACAGCTTGTGTCTAATCAGTGCTGCTGGTCAAGCTCCAAGACAATGCTCAGGGTCATAGCATGTTATTGGAATCAGCAAAACAAAACAATCTCTCTCTGAGGCTTTCCCGTCGGAGGCCCTTTGACCCGAGTGCCACAGATCCCAATTAGCAAAGACATCAAGTCGACTATTATTTATTTTCTGTACCATTTATTTTCCTCCTACTTAGTGCTCTGATGTTGCAGCTGCATTTCAGAAGGGAATTCTCTGATCATCTTTCGAAAAAGCCACTTGCTGCATATTATATTAGGCTGTGAATGTTTTTTATACATAGTTAGAATTAGGCACATTTGACACATACAGAGACTTTAGCTGGAGTGGGAGGGGTCAGCTAACATCTGCTAATGTGAATGTGTGGTTAGAGGGTTCAGAGATGACAGGACCCATGGTAAGGCTTAGACTGATTTCATCTTTCAAACATTCACAGATGTCTTACTCGTTATGTTCTTCGTGTTAGATGAATTACTATATTCAGAAGTGGGGAGAGTATTTCATATCAACATATACAGAATTAGTTTTGATGTTGTTGTGTGGAACAAAGCTTGGGGAAAAAATTCTGTAGTGAACTTTGACACGAGAGATTGTTTTGGAGAGAATCAAAGCAAACAGCAGCTAACTCTTTGGATGTATTTTATTATATTATTTATACATACCTACTACGTAATTTGGGGCCTGAACAGAAGGATGAATGACCACTGGGCACTAAAGTGTTTGAGTATTATTGGGAAACCCTGCAGGTGTTTGCCTCGCCTTCGCCATCCAAAAACTTGATGTACATCCCCAGACCCAGATGTACGTCTGGGTCTGATCCTAGTGGCTGCAGTTAACTGCAGTGAATCCCCTCCGACCAATCAGCGAGCGGGGGAGGCGGGTTTTGTAGGACAGTGTCGGTGAATTTGCACCGAATTTGCAGGTTGTAATTTGACAATGGCGGCGAATGCAATAGTAAAGTCATCCGTTCTAATTTGGCTCCAGATATCAAGAAATTGACACCGGAGCAAGTTTAGCAAATGTCATTGCTGGAAAATATGTTGTGTCTCTACCCCCCACGGGCTCCGTCAGTGGCAAAGGAGATGGTAAAGCTAGGCTAAATGCTAAATGGAGCATATCCAGACCTTAGTACGAAATGAAATGAGTACAATGGTGTGGTAAGGCCAGGCCTTATGTAGGTGTGTGTGTGTGTGTGTGTGTGTGTCTGTGTGTTCAATGGACAGTGGTGTGGTTTGGCAGAAGTGTTCTCCCTAATGTTGCAAGATTATTCTAACTGAAAAAAGCCTGATACAGTAACTTTTCTTTGATGTTATTCATTACTGTCAATATGCCCTATAGTATTGACAGTCTTAGAATTAAGTATTCTCTGGCCGCTAACATAAGACAGCATGTAATTTGAAATGAGTGATTAATCCCATCGACGAGGCTGAACCACCACTGCTTCTGTGGCTGATCAAAATATCACGATGGCTTTGAAAAAGGCAAAGTAAGTGAAGGGGAAATGGTCTTTAGAATGCAGGCATCCTCAATCGATCATTAGTTACTGCGTTGTCAGAGGTATTAATCACGAAGCCAGTGTGGTGAGTGTGTGTGCCCAGAGCTCCAGCAAGTCACCACCACTGGGACTCTCTGGATACCCTCTCTATGCTCCATCTGCATCAGGCCTGTTTTTAAGGACAGATCAATGGGCACTCATTGCACTCTTTCAGGAGCACTTTAGGAAGACTGGTGCAAGCAAAACAAAAGTTCAGTTTTGGCAAACTTTTAAATGTAATGGATCACATTGGAGGTGGTGGTCCTACCAAATATAATAGCTTATGTAAAATAGTGAAAATGTGCTGAAAAGGTGGACTGTGGTTCACTTGAAGATGTGAAAGCACCAAACAGGTGCACCAGACTGAACCAGGATGTCCAGGATGTCCAGAGTCAGAGTTTAATTTTCTTCTGAAGTGAACCGAGATCAGTAGACCAGTGTGAACCTGGCTACCATTTGGATTTATCTTCTAAATCTAAAGTGATCATTTCTCTTCACCACTGGTTAAGATACTATACTGAATGTAGCCCTAATACAAAAATGCAACCATTACAGACAAGTTTCAGAAATAAAGCACACATTTTACCCTGGCTCATGTGTTATGAACCAACAGCTTTTCTCTCTCTTCTAACAAAGGACTAGTCGAGCGCCAAAACAAAACGATAACAAAACTACACTTACAATTGTTATTTACACGCGATTCACAGAGCAGCAGTCCCTCACTGACCCTCCTGCCGGTGGTTAGTCCACAGGAGGCTTCTCTGTCAGTGATGATCTTTCAGCGGGGGCTTCAGGCAAAGTGGGGTTGAGTGTCTTGTCAAAAGACAAAATGTCATCAGTGGGCTCAAACCCACGACCTTCAGTGCTCTTCTGACTGAGCCACTGTTGCCACACCATTGTAGACAACAAACAGTAACTGCTTGTAACAGGGCATGTTGTGACATCTGTGGATCTTTACAATCCTAATATCTAGAAATAATATCAAAAGACATTAAGTCTTTGAACATTAGTTCAAGGTTTTTCCAAAGCCACTTTTCAGCCATTTCAACAATACTTTAAAGCTACAGGTTCCCTTTCCCTGCCCTCAACCAAGACGTTTTCCTGATTTTTGCCTAAGCTCCACAAACTTTCCCATGTTTCACACACTAGGTCTGCACAGGTCTGCATAGGTCTGCACATGTCTGCACAGGTCTGCACATGTCTGCACATGTCTGCACAGGTCTGCACAGGTCTGCACAGGTCTGCACAGGTCTGCACAGGTCTGCACAGGTCTGCACATGTCTGCACAGGTCTGCACAGGTCTGCATAGGTCTGCACATGTCTGCGCAGGTCTGCACAGGTCTGCACAGGTCTGCGCAGGTCTGCGCAGGTCTGCACAGGTCTGCACAGGTCTGCACATGTCTGCGCAGGTCTGCACAGGTCTGCACAGGTCTGCACAGGTCTGCACATGTCTGCACATGTCTGCACAGGTCTGCACAGGTCTGCACAGGTCTGCACAGGTCTGCACATGTCTGCACATGTCTGCACAGGTCTGCACAGGTCTGCGCAGGTCTGCACAGGTCTGCACAGGTCTGCACATGTCTGCACATGTCTGCACAGGTCTGCATAGGTCTGCATAGGTCTGCACATGTCTGCACAGGTCTGCATAGGTCTGCACAGATCTGCACAGGTCTGCACAGGTCTGCACAGGTCTGCACATGTCTGCACAGGTCTGCACAGGTCTGTGGTTGACTCGGTGAAACATCCTCTTTTCATTGTTGCTCACGCTGCAGCTGCAAAGTGAGCCCCGATGGGACTACTGCTCCGTCCACGGCCTCCTCTCCGCTCCAGGATTTCCCTGGAGATGAAGCCATTGAGATTGCAGTATTTTTCCTAGACGTCTGGAGCTTGTCTCACTAATGTCTAGGCGACCGGCACATCATTAAGGCCAGAAGAAAAGGTTGTGGTGACAATAGTGAGTGAGTGACAACGGAGCGTTTCAGACATGAAGAGGAGCGGAAACAGAGAGGAAGGTTTGTTTTCAGACACCTTAAAAAAAAAAACTGCATGCACACACATATATATATATATATATATATATAACCAAATATAGATAAGATAAACTTTATTGTCCCAAGGGAAATTTGCTGTTGGTTGCAGTTCTACTGAATGAATACAAATATAAAGGAATATTACAGGAAAAATCATAGACTTCAGAGTAGTAGTACTCTGAAGTCTGAAGTCTATGATTTGTCAAAATAAGTTATATGTCCTGGAAAAAAACAGAAATACTGTAGTTCATTATTTTTTAAATGGAACATGCAAATCTTGTCATTGCAAACATTTCAGTTTCAATACTTACGTCCAGTCCCATTTCTTTTCAAAACAGTTTAACCTGTAATGGAGCCCTTTGGAGAACAGACCAAGGGCTGGAGCGTTTGTTTAACTGGGGCCCTGTAGTTTTGGCTCTAAATGACTGATTTATTTATAAGTGGGAACAACATCTGCACAGAGAAAGATATGTGACTGAGTAAGTAATCTATTGATACAGCGTCGTTCTCAGCCCAGAGTCACAAAGCGCTTCACAATAGACTCTTCTATCGCTCTATTATAGAATCCAATAGATTAAACTATGGCTATGTCAGAGAATACAACACACTATTCTAGAGATATTTTACAGAACATTCTGGAGGTTGGCTTGAGTAGAATGACCAACTATGGGGGGTTTGACAACTCCCATTTCACAGCTGAGGAAAATATCACTAAAAAGTAGATTTAGGGGCCCGCATTAAAGCAAAAAGGCTCCAGGCGCAATACATATAAAATCCTTATTAACTTTTGAGCTATTTTTTGGACTAGTGATTTATTTGAGTTTGGAGTTCTATCGGCTCATAGTATTTTACTGCACAAAAAAGAGTTTAATTTTTAACTTTTACAGTTCCATGAGTTTAAGGGTTATATTTAATGAAATGCCTGACAAAAATATGGGGCGACAGTAGCTCAGTTGGTAGAGCATTGGTCTTAAGGCCAGAAGGTTGTGGGTTCAATTCCCACCTCTGCACCTTCTCCACCGACTCCCACTGATGACTGCTGTCGTTGTGTCCTTGGGCAAGACACTTAACCCCACTTTGCCCAAAGCCCCCACTGAAAGATCAAGGCTATGCTCACAGTCAGAGAGCAGCCGTCCTCCTGTGGACTCACCACCTGCAGAGGGTCAGTGAGGGGCTGGTGCTATGAGACTTGGGTGGCATCTCTGACTGCCACCCCCCTGACCCAGAAATGGATTAAAGGGTAGAACATGGATGGATGGATGGCCTGACAAAAATGGTTTGATGGTTAAAGCTTTAAAGTAGGGTTGAATGAGGAGAAAGAGGCGAAGATAAGTCTCATGTTTCTCTGTGTTTGGTAAATAAAGGAAGACGTTAGAATCTCAAAGTCCTGAGTTTGTGGGTGCAAAGAAGTTAGAAATAATCACCAAGTTGAGAGTGCTGCCAGCCAATCAGGTCAAAGCTTAAAAGACATTGTCAATAAGACCTTGTGTGCTTCTTGTAAACACAGTGAGGACAGAGGAAAATAAGACAAATGTCACAAATAAAGAAATAAAGAAATATCCATATGTGTGTGAAATCAAGTAACTACAAACAATAACTAGTTTCATATTTTAAGATGGATTACAGAAAAGTAACATTTACATTTACACAGCGATGACATTTGCTAAACATTCCTCATTCCAATTTCTTGGTTCTTGGAGCTGAACCAGAACAGATTACTTTACTATTCGCTGCCATCGCTAACTACAACCAGCATATTTGACTCAAACTATTGACGTCACGGACACCTTCCTACAAACCCTCCTCCCCCGCTCTCTGAATGGTCGGATGGGATACAACCGAGGTAATAACAGCCGCTAGGATCAGACCCAGACGTACATGTGGCCCAGAGTTTACAGATGGCTAAGACCAGGCCAGACTTTAATTTCCCTTCATGTGATGTATAAAATATATATCCATCTTGCTAAAACATACATATTGAGAATCCCTGCTATCATTCTGGTTCCCCTTTTTAATATACCACTGTCTTCCATTATTATTATTTTTGTTCAAGTGAATCACATCTTATACCATTGCTCCCATCTTTCCTCTCCCATCACCCCTCTGCCCTGGCCACACCTTCAGCACTATTATGTTGTCAATAGTACAAAGGGAAATGGCATAACCGCTGAAGTACTTGACCCAATAAGCACGAGGCTGGACATGAAAGCCGGGGAAATGCTCATTGTTCTTCATTGTCAAGTGCTGCCCTCTTCATTGACAGAGTAATATGAGCAGTCTAATTGAGTAGCTCAGCCCTGCTCCTGTTCCATTCTGCCACTTCAGAAAGCCAACACGGCACATTTCATTTGAAGTTTTTAACCACGGCCGATTGTTTAAATGTCAAAATATGCAAATTACATGTGACCTAGTTTTTAAAAAGCACAAAAATCAAACTTGCAGAGACTGGATTTAATCAATGGATGCCGCACATTTGCAAGCGGGCGAGGACTCATTGAGCTGATTTACATTTGACCATTTTGTCTTTTTGTTCCATTGTGTTGGTTTGTGTGTTCTGTGAAGGCTTATGGCATTTGATGGTTCCTTATCAGTGGAAGCTTTTATCTTTAAGAAAACATAACAATTCCATCTGAAATCTCCATGTATTGATTGTATAAAATAGATGCCAGCTCATTAAAAGTGTATTCTTGGACCCACTTTTCAACCCAGGACTTTCATTCAACTAGAGTGATAATGCACCGGGTTTATATACTGTTTATTATTATATACTATGTATTTATTGTGCTATACAAATAAACGCTTCACATGGTAATGTTCTTTGACTCCATACACAGTGGTGATGAACTATTGTAGCCACAGCTGCCCTGAGGCACACTGACAGAAGAGAGGCAATCCAAACGTGCTATCGGCCCCTTCGACCCCTTCGACCCCTTCGACCTTCGACCCCTTCGACCCCTTCGACCTTCGACCCCTTCGGCCCCTTCGACCTTCGACCCCTTCGACCTCTTCGACCCCTTCGACCCCGTTCCTTGTGTACGGAGTGATAATTATCTTTGGTTCTGTCTGATGCACTGACGGTGAACGTGTGCAACTGAAGTGCTCTTATTTTCTGCTTTTACTGTAATGTCCTTTAACAATGACGTTGAAATAAACGTTTCAAAGTTTATTTTGAGTAAAGGTTTATCTTATAAACAGTACACCGGCCGTCTCCAACCTGTAGCTTGGGAGCCACCAGTAGCTCACCACCTCCTTCCAGGTAGCTCGCCAAAAGATTTAAAAATGAACAAATCAAATAATATACTTAATTTTTCAGATAGTATTATTCATCATCAACATGTAATGTTGATATAAATGCACTGACTTTATGCACTAGTGACAAATGTGAGAGGATGAATGATGACTGTACCCAGTATCAGGCTTGTTCACACAAATATATCACCCAGGAGTAGCTCTCTGCCTTAATCGTCCTGGGAAAGTAGCTCTCTGGGTGAAAAGGGTTGGACACACACACACACACACATATACACATATATACACACACACACACACACACACACACACACACACACACACACACACACACACACACACACACACACACACACACACACACACACACACACACACACACAAAGCTGAAATAATACCAAAGTTTTACATATTCATAAATGTGTATTTCCTTTGGGCCAGTGCTGAATATTACCATGGTCTGGCTGTAACACAAAAGGCAGTGAACCTCGTCTGCCCAAAGTATAAGCTCAAGATGGGGCTGGAAACGGTTCACACAAATGTAGACACGCATGTTTCCTTCCATTCAACCTCTGCTTTTTTTGTCTCAGCTCTTCATTTTTTCTGCTCTCTCCACAAACAAACTAACTCCAGGGTCGCATTTTCAAATCAAAGTAGAAAATGAAGCGGCGGTGTGTGCTTTCAGAACTACAACTTTTTCTTTAAATTTGTCTGGTTCAAATAAGTCCATGGAAAGCTCGACACAATTGTAACACAGAGGAAACGTTTGGCTGCTTAGTTAGCTTTCCTTCAGTGGATTTTCACCTGATCCGCTTGGTTAGGACCATGAATCTTCTCTGCTCTGGTCTGGACCAGTGTAAAACCATGAATCCTCTCTGCTCTGGTCTGGACCAGTGTAAAACCATGAATCCTCTCTGCTCTGGTCTGGACCAGTGTAAAACCATGAATCCTCTCTGCTCTGGTCTGGACCAGTGTAAAACCATGAATCCTCTCTGCTCTGGTCTGGACCAGTGTAAAACCATGAATCCTCTCTGCTCTGGTCTGGACCAGTGTAAAACCATGAATCCTCTCTGCTCTGGTCTGGACCAGTGTAAAACCATGAATCCTCTCTGCTCTGGTCTGGACCAGTGTAAAACCATGAATCCTTTCTGCTCTGGTCTGGACCAGTGTAAAACCATGAATCCTCTCTGCTCTGGTCTGGACCACTGTAAAACCATGAATCCTCTCTGCTCTGGTCTGGACCACTGTAAAACCATGAATCCTCTCTGCTCTGGTCTGGACCAGTGTAAAACCATGAATCCTCTCAGGACTTGCTGTCGTTTCAAGTGCACTCAAAACTAAGCATGGCATTGGACTTCAATATTTCACATTTGTGGAAACATAGAAGCCTTTTTAATATTCACACAGTGGCTAGAGTTATTCAACGTCAGCCTTCCCTGGCCTTTTTCTATTCTTTTATTTTCCTAAATGTAATTGAGAATTGACTGATTAGGAGCCTCCTTCTACTTTGTATGATCACGGGACCTTATATGTCACGCAGATCCATGACACCATCGCTGGCTTGCTGCTGGTTTGGCCATACCATAAACATATGGACTCTGCTGTTCACTCAAAGTATTTCCAAATTGGTGCATTCTACAACAGTTCAGCAAATGTTTTGTTCCTTCAATTGAAATGTCAACACAACAACTGCTGAATCATCCATGTATCGTAGACTGAAGAAGGAGATGATAAATGATGTAATAAATATAGTACTGTTATACACTATATACAGCATGTAATGTCTTTAAAGCAATCTATCTTTCCACAATATCTACCATTTATGAATCTAAATCACATTTCTTACTCAACACTGAGCTGTCATGACCATGAGTTTTTCAAATGGACTGTGAGTAAAGTAACCCGTGATCTCTTACTGACTGCAGCAGAGCTCACTACAGCAGCATGTGGCTGTAGCAGTCGTATAAAAACAAGTCAAAACATTTGAGGACATTTTCTCCCAGAATAACTTCACATTTCTATGTTTTTTTCTGAGGAATTCCTCTCACCAACGCTCCCGTACTAGTATATTAATGTAGCACACAGCGCTCAGGACAGCTCTCCCAAAGGCTTCCACACGCTCTGCAGCTGCTGCCAAGTCCCATCACCAACACTAGAGGGCTCCCTCCATGGACCACGCTGTCATTCACACACTGCTCCACGCTCTCACACAAGTCAGCCAGAGCAAAGAAAAGCACTTTTTCCCCCCAATATTTGCCTATTTTTAGATCAAATACATAGCTTCAGTTTACTCCTATGTAACAGTAAATCCTTCTCATCAATAATATGACAATCTTATCTTTCAACAGGATGCGGCCCCACTTCTGTGATGACGGATGATCATTCGGATGCAGGGAATGAGACTTCATGTACTACTGTGGACTTTTTATAGACGTCTCCAAACTACTGTTGAACCTCCTCATTATTTATCGTCATTCAAGCTCTCAGACTTGTCATTTTAATTTTTCACAGCTAAAAGTCCGTTCAAGTGACGGCAATTATGTGTTTGAGTTTGGATAATGGCGGCACTTTCTGCTGTTTTTTTTTTTTGTGGAAAGATAATTCCACGTTTGCTTTTTGTTTGTTTTTTTCTGATAGAGAAGCCATTGAACTGTGGGCCAGTTTTTGTTTCATATGAAAAGCTTTGATAATTGTAGAAGTATGAACCATAAACTAAATCAACAGATATTAATTTAGTCAAGGAACAGCAAATTTCACCACACAATTCTCAAAAAATCCACGTGTTTTAGTCCATCAGAACTCCTCTCAGCCCAGAAGTGGCAAAGTTACTGTAGTCTTAACTATTATTAAGTAAAAGTATGGATAATAATAAAAAACCCAACTGGTAGTGAAGTATTGAATGTCATTATTTTAGTAAAAGTACAGGATTGTGGACGTTATATATTGAATAATGAATTTGCCCAGACATTTTATAGGGACTCTGTCTCTGCAGCTGATCTGGGAGAGCCTCAGGATTCCCCCAGATGAGCTGGAGGAAGTGTCTGCTCAGACTGCTGCCCCCGTGACCCGGGAAACTCAGAAGGTGTAAGAAAATGGATGGAGGAAGAATGATTGGCATTTTACTTAATTGAGACATTATAAGCATTGCATTTGAAGCACTTAAAGCAAATAATCCTGTAGAAATGTGTCCTGTACTGGCAGAGAATGACAATCTCTGAGTTTATAAGTGTACCTACACATTAAGTATGTCACATTTCCATCTGCAATGTGACCAGTCATTAAGATGTCAAACATGTACAGTACAGATCGTTTTGATTCAAAGCCAAGAGTAAAAGTATAAAGTTGTCATAAAGTGTCTCGTGCGACGTGAAAAAAGAAAAAAACATTTATTTTTTTAACCCTAACCCTAACATTTATTATTGTAGTGACATAATTGATCATGCAATCAACAACAAGATGATGATGATGATGATGATAAAAATCAGGAATGTCATGTGAAATTTTTGTTGTTTAAATGAAATATTAATAACGGGGAATGCACATATGAGCTTTTTGCTTCTGCCTTCTCATGTTGAGCTTTGTTTCTTAAAATATATATATGTACTTGTAAAAAATACACTGTAAAACTGCTCAAATAAAACTACTACTACTACTACTACTGCTACTACTACTACTGTGTAATGTGTTCAGTCACATGTTGTCTTCATCTCTACATGTTTGTACTCTGGTTGGCTCATTGAGAGTTTTCCACTCTTTGGCAATTTTCTGTTTAAAGAAAGCTTTAAACAGAGGCCAACAAACAAACCCATGCATGTGAAAACTAGTGATGATTCTGAGAAAAAGAAACAATAGTTAAATTGTATTGTACTGTTTTGAAGGTTAGCTCAACCACTGAATGACTCCACCTCCATCTCTGTCCCCGCTCCACAGCTTTCGCTTTAGCAGAAGCACGCATCTGTTCCTTTCTTAACCCATCTCAAATAACCGCGTGTGTAAACGAGCCAGCTCCGTGTCCGTTTCACTCACTCCATTTCACTAATACACCTCACAGAAGAGACGGCAACTCGTGCGCAACGGAGAACGCGCGCACGGCACAGCTATCTCCAGACGATCTTCACCCTGCACCTTTGCGCGCAGGCTTTTTTCATCCTTCCTTTATCTCCCTCCAACTATCGTCTGCAATCCGAGACGTGGAACCTGTGCGCGTCCACGACAGGCACGTGTTCGTTTGCGCGCCTGTTGACCCGACTCCTCCATCATCAATCCAATGAGCGCAGCGCAGGGGAGGCTCTGTTCGCCATCGCGCGTCTCTCTCCCATCCCCTGCTCACTTCTTTTCCAGTCGGCCAGCGAGCAAGCCCGTGTCGGAGCTCCCCCTCACGCAAACTGCCTCCGTGCACGACAGCCAGCCACGACTATAGGCAGCACTCGCGTTTGCAAAAAGGATTTCTACTGCCTGCTCTCCACGCACCGGAGTTTTGGCTTTACGTTCACGTATGAGGGGAAATCATGCAGCAGCGCGGAAGGATGCAGGTCTCATTGTAGTAAGTAAAGCTTGTTTTATTATTTCCAAACAGGTAACATCGGGCAGGCGCATGTCAACGCTTTTTAATGCGATTTTGCGATGTTTTTTCCTGCCCACACGCACTGCAAGGTGTGCAACTTGGGCTGCCGACTCATTTAAGCAGAGAAAAAAAATCATGTGGCACTCTTTTTCTTTTTCAACTTCAAGTGCCACCAGACTTAATGAATGAAGACATTATGTGCCCAAAGAGAGAAACTTATAGCTATAGACGGGAGTGCCTTATATCCCCGCGTAAAGCTGTAAGAGGCATCCACTGAAACTGATGAATCGGTGGGTTGTTGAGGCAGCGGCGGTGGCTCGGATCTTTTTTCTGCCGGTGATGGTGTGTGGTACCCCGGACAGCTCCTGCGCTTGGCTGGAGTCGCTCCCTCACGTTCCGCCTGCGTCTGGAGCTGTCCCCTTTCTCCGTGGTGCTGAAATTGTCAGCCCAGTCACGCGTCAGACTAGACTCGATTATTTTATCAAAAGCGCAATGATTAAACAGTAATGCACTGTTTTTTTAATAACAGGGAATAGTAAATAATCCCATTCTAGATCAGTTTGGCTGTAGTCAATCTCCATGTAATTGGCTTTTAACAGTTGAATTAGTGTATACTGCAAGCTTTAAATGAGTAAAGACTTTTTAATTTAGAATTTCTGATGAAGAAGTTGATTTTAGTTGCAATTATATGATATGAATTACATGATGTCACACCATTCTTATTGTCTCCCATGTGAACTGAAATCAAAACTGTTTAAAAATACACAACAAAAAGCAACTACAAGTTTGATACTAAAATCTGAACATCTCCACCCGGCGTTTTTAACTCACTATCTCTTATTTACAGCTAAGCCTCGAGCTTGTTGTAACTTTTAGCCCTCCAACCAATCCCCTGTCCAGTCTTATCACAAAACAGCAGTTCTGCCTTGATATTACATTGCGTTGCAGCGATTAAACATGCCTTCAAACGCGAACACAATTTATCGGCTGTCCTAATCACCATCATCATGGCTCTGGATTACCGTCGGTATCAGCCGGCTACAGCGCTGTTGACATTGTGGGGCTCACCTGCAGCAAACCGCTCTATATCTGCAACCTCTTCTGCATATCCAAGGATTTCTCTGTTTTTTCTCATTCAAAACTTAAGCCTGAGAGGACAATTCAGCTCAGCGTGGTTTGACATAATATTAATCAGGAGAAACATGGAATTTCTTCTCACCAATCACCAGCACAAAATCTGTATACAAGAGATTAAAGCCAAGCAATCTGATGGAGAATTGGATACAGCCGAGCAAGCCATTTGTTCGCGGTGATATGGAGACAAGATAGGGTCACCGGTGTTACAGAGACATCGTTTGTAATAATCAAGTGGCATTTTGACATCTCATTCTCAAATAAGAGGAATGTGTTGTTTTCTTATTGCTTTATGATGAAATTTGTCACATGGCCCTGTAATGCACGGCTGCGGAATTTCACTTCGATTGTTGTCGATATTGATTGGGTTTCAAAAAGCAGGGATGAAAAGCACTGTTTTAGCTTCATGAATATAAACTTTATACCGAAAAAGGACTAAAATCCATACATATACATATATATATATATATATATATATATATATATATATATATATATATATATATATATATATATATATATATATATATTGTGTAATTTTAACCCTTGAGGTACTGGGAGCTTTTCAGAAATGTGATGTGAAACAAAAGGGACAGCCCTAGACTCAGTAACAACCAAAGTCATTTTCAAAGTAATAATCAAAATGCATTAAAAGTATATGTAAGAACACTTTTACTTAATGTTTTCAAAATAAAGTTTATTTAATGAACTTAACTTTCCTGTATTAATAAGGAATCCATGTCTATTATGATGACCTTTAACCTGTTTCTTGGCTGCCCGTTTTGATTCGCTGTAATCATCTGGCATTGCTTTTCTGTTTTCCCCAACCCTTTGATATTTCACCTTTGGAACAAAATCCTGCTAACAAAAGTTCTCACTGTTCCAATTTCAGGTCTCCCAATCCGCCGGAATACTTCCAAATGGATGCTGCTGAGCTGGAGCACCTCGCCGCTTCTTTACCCACTGCTATGGACCAACGCCAATCCATGCAAGTGACCTTTAGCACGCCATGAATGTCGGAGCCGCGTTTCAAAGAGGACACAAGTAACCTTTTCTTGTTATCTAAGACGGAGCTGTTGATCTGACGCTGCGAGAAGATTTCTGACTGCAGGAGGGAACGGGGGTCGGACCAGAGACTCAAGAGATCAACAAATAGAGCAAACAGAGCAAATGGCCTTTAGGATGCCAAGACATTCCGGAGAGATGTTTACGGATTTGTTGGTGATTTTGCTATTATTTTGGATTACTTGTGCCGGGAGCAGCCCGATCGGAGGCCACTCCAGAGGCACGCAGAGCGGAGCAGTGGAAGGACAAAGATTACTGAGTCGCGCCAAGAGAGGATGGGTTTGGAATCAAATGTTTGTGCTGGAGGAATTCTCTGGACCCGATCCAATCCTGGTTGGCAGGGTGAGTGCTCTGTGATTGTCAGTGTTTTGTTGAGCTCGCTTATCGTGTCAAAACATTAATTTGGGTTATTTGAATCTTCCCAAGAGTGTATGTGCGTTTTTGTCTAATATTTTAAGGGTGTTTTGCTCGTCGCTTGGTTGTTGGAAGTAGACTTTGGGATGTGGAGGATGTGGAGAGATAGGGGGCAATAGAGAGACATCCAAAGATTTTACTTATTTTTTTTTTCAATTCAGAATATTCTGCAATCTTTACACACAATATTGTCACAACTATACTAGTATATTAAAAAAAACTAAAAAATATATTTATTTATTTTATTACAATCATTCAATTTCAGATTAAATTTTTTAAAGTTTTGAACTTGTCTGATCCATGGGGATTGATAATAATGTGTTTACACTAAACTACACTAAACTATCCTGTACTAAAACCCTAAACCTTAATTCTGCTGAATAATAATAATGTCAATACACATTTCTACACCACAATAATAAGACAATAGGATGTTATTTATACAAGGAAAAGCAAAAGCAGCAAGTATTTAGAATTTATAGACATTTTTGTTTAATTATTATTGATATTTTCTCCAAAAAGACTAGTTTAATAATCCGTCATTAAATACCTTTTCAATACTATGGACACCCTGATGTCTGTACTGCCGTCTGTCCCTGCCTATTCATCCGAGCAACTTAGATAAACACCTTTTGTCATAATATTGTGTTGTGTTGGCAGTAATTGTTTGACCTTCATATTTTTTTTTCTTTTTTCACAACACACCTTTTCCACTTATGTCAGCCACGGTTTGTGTTGTTCCATTTGGACTGAGCACTGTCTTCCCACTGCTAAGGGCCAGCTGCTCCCTGCTCTGTGTGCCAGTGTCAGGGACTTTTCAATGGAAGAAAAGGATTGTAGCCAGTGTGACCTGCAGCCTGTTTACTGCCCCAAGCTGCTGCTCACCTGGGGAGAGGCAACCTGGCAACCTGGCAACCTGGCAAACCTGGCAACCTGGCCCCTCCCACTCCCTACACTTACATGCTACGATCACAGGAATCACTTTTTGGTTGTGTTTAGTTAATCTTTGGGATCAATATTTGGAAGAAAAACACATATCCAGGAGTTTTCTTGGATATTTGGATTATTTTAATTCTCTACTTTCTAAAGCACCAACCCGAAAGACTTATTTACACTGGAAATGTCACTTTCCAATAACCTTCTGTCTACTCTTCAACCTTTACCTGTTTAATAAGTAATAGAAAAAGGATATTCAACTAGTTCTCAAGATAATTTCTCATTTTTGTCTCACATGATTTTGAGAGTTTTAACATTGGCTGATAATTACTGATAATTACTGATAATTATTACTGATAATAATTCATAGGATAAGCACAGATGATAAAGTTAGAGAGGACTAAAGTCACGACACAGCCATATAGACATAAATCCTGGCTATAGATTTAGAACGTGAGATTAGGGGAGGTAGGCTCACAGCAAGAAGGTCCTGCATAAAGATCTCCACCCATAAAAAGGAACGTGAAGATGAGGCAGGGGGGCTGATTTTCTCCTCTAAGTTTGTTGCTTACTTTATCTATTTAAGTTTGTGTTTTTTGAGTGGATGGAGCTAAAAACACTTCCGGCGTGTTTTGATAAGGGAACAATGTAGTATCTTGTCAAAAGCTAAGCCACTGTTGTTGTGTGTCGAGCAGATTCATTAAAATAAGTCTTCTCTGTCGTCACCTTCCCCCATTTCTTATTCCCGTTGATTCTTCCATCCCGAGCTTTATCATATGTCAGCGTCAGTTAAACATTAGCCACATGCAGGACCGGCACCTGTGTTTGCTAAATACTGACGCAAAAGGAAAATGCTGTTAAGTGATGCATTAATTTTTCAAGTGAGTCAATTAGTCGTCCTCCGCTGGATGTGATGTGGCTGCTCTTCAAACGGATCAAGTAAAACAGGGCCTTCAGGCTGCCCAGGCATCAAGCTCTATGCAGATATGATAGCACTCTGGAATAATCCATAATTCACACGACTCATCTCCAGTGTATAAGAGTCAGACTGTTTGAACACAGAGAAATTAGTTTATTGTTCTTATGAATATA